GTACATTGGACTAGTATTTTGTATCTGAGCCCTTTGCTTCGGTAGATCTACAAAGTGTAAACGTTCTGTGTAAACTATACACTCATGTTAACACACGTTGATAGATCTATCTACAACGTGTAACGTTCGGTGTAACGTGTGTTAACATGAGTGTATAGTTTACACAGAACGTTTACACTTTGTAGATCTACCAACGTGTGTTAACACGAGTGTATAGTTTACACAGAACGTTACACTTTGTAGATCTACCAACGTATGTTAACACGAGTGTATAGTTTACACATAACGTTACACTTTGTAGATCTACCAACGAATGTTAACACCAGTGTATAGTTTACACAGAACGTTGACACTTTGTAGATCTACCAACGTATGTTAACACCAGTGTATAGTTTACACAGGACGTTTACACTTTGTAGATCTACCAACGTATGTTAACACCAATGTATAGTTTACACAGAATGTTGCACTTTGTAGATCTACCAACGTGTGCTAACAGTGTATTGTTTACACAGAACGTTGCACTTTGTAGATCTACCAATGTGTGCTAACAGTGTATTGTTTATACAGAACGTTGCATTTTGTAGATCTACCAACGTGTGCTAACAGTGTATTGTTTACACTTTGTAGATCTACCAACATGTGTTAATACAGGTGTATGCTTTTGAAAATGATGAAAAATATTCAATATAGAAATATAATAGCAACATTCATGTTGATTTTGCTGAACCATTTCTTCACATAATGAAAATATTTTAGAGCTTACGATAGTAAAATATTAAATATGATGCAAAATCTGTACACGAAGGTTCTCCATCAGACTAAATCTTACGTAAATTCTAACTAAGAGCTCTAATTCAGTTCAATATAAATATGATGCAAAATCTGTACACGAAGGTTCTCCATCAGGTAAATCTTACGTAAATTCTAACTAAGAGCTCTAATTCAGTTCAATAATAAATATGATGCAAAATCTGTACACGAAGGTTCTCTATCAGATTAAATCTTACGTAAATTCTAACTAAGAGCTCTAATTCAGTTCAATAATAAATATGATGCAAAATCTGTACACGAAGGTTCTCCATCAGACTGAATCTTACCTAAATTCTAAGAGCTCCGATTCAGTTCAATAATAATTATGATGCAAAATCTGTACACGAACGTTCTCCATCAGACTAAATCTTACGTAAATTCTAACTAAGAGCTCTAATTCAGTTCAATTATAATTATGATGCAAAATCTGTACACGAAGGTTCTCCATCAGACTAAATCTTACGTAAATTCAAACTAAGAGCTCTAATTCAGTTCAATTATAATTATGATGCAAAATCTGTACACGAAGGTTCTCCATCAGGTTAAATCTTACGTAAATTCTAACTAAGAGCTCTAATTCATTTCAATAATAAATATGATGCAAAATCTGTACACGAAGGTTCTCCATCAGACTAAATCTTACGTAAATTCTAGCTAAGAGCTCTAATTAGTTCAATTTACATCGTTCAAAATTAAAAGAACAACAGCTATATGGTGTTCAGTGTGACTGTCTTCGATTAATATTCGATATTATTTGGCGCTTTCGTCTTTTTCTTATTTAATATTTAAAAAATATCGGCAGAAGCAAACAAAAAAACAACAACAACTAAACATTTAATTAAGTGATAGATCATTTATAATAGTACAAACGATTAGAAAATAATTCGCTGGAGGGATGTAATGCAGTGTAGAAGAAACGGATACAGTCCTACTTCAAACAGTGTAAAAACTGGATATACTTCTATTGGGTATATTATGTAGTGTTGATATAATTATTTTACTGAATGTGGTGTAGACGAACCGACAAGAATCTCATTAGCATGGTGGGACCTTGAGTCATTTCAAAGAACTGAATTATACATAATGACAACAGCTTCACTGGACATGATGTGGTGTAAGAGAATAAATATAAAATAAAGTGGGGATTCCTTGGGTACTTGAAATTATTTTAGGCTGGATTAGAGTAAATTAATGTAGTATAACAATTATCTGGGGACATGTTAGTGACATAACAATTTATTTCATTAAAAACACCCTAGAAACGAGAAAATGTGGTATGATAATTGTTTCTGTCTACAAACATTTTTCTAAAGAGACTGTCGCAACAGCATCTGTAATTAAACCCTCGTAGTGAGGGTATAACAATTGATCCACAGATAGAGACTGACGCAATAGCATCTGTAATTAAACCCTCGTAGTGAGGGTATAACAGTTGATCCACAGATACAGTTTTGTAGAGAATTTGACGATGTAACAATGTCTAAACAAAGATATATTGTACAACAAGGTACAAACAATCGAGAGTAACACAAAGGATGCTATAACAATGTCTAAATGAATATATATTGTACCACAGTATACAAGCGATCGACAGTAACACAAAAGATGCTATAACAATGTCTAAATAAATATATATTGTACCACAGTATACAAGCAATCGACAGTAACACAAAAGATGCTGTAACAAAGTCTCGAAGATGGTTATGGTGTAAACGCCTTTTAAAAGCTGGAGAAGCATGATAAAATTAATTATACTTGTCATAAGACATTATGTTAGACCCGTTATATCTTTAACATTACATTCCTAATCCAGTCCCTTACGGATTTTCAAGAATTTGATTAGTGTATAATAAGAGTATTTCAACCACACTATATTCGTCCTATCCATTGCCGACGACGCGTTTCGCTCAATCCAGAGCTCTTCAGACCAGACCGGCTGTGATATAAAAGGAACATGTAGAACAGTGTACAAACAATTCAAAAAGATACAGCAGGTTTTATAACAATATACAAACAAACATGTATTATTGAGCAGTGTATAAATGTAATGTAGAGTAGGACAGATGATGTAATAAGTTTTACTATACAAATCGAGATGACGTATGATGTAAATCAGTAGATGTTGCAACGATCTCTTCCGTTGACAAACACGAACTTCCAACGAAGATTGGCCGATGTAACAACTAGTTCTTTCAATGAAAACATCTACTAGAGTAGGGTGTAGAACGTTTACATATTATCACATTATTTATAGAATAGTTTATTCTGTAAGCAAGCACTTCGGAAATTATGCGAAACACCTTTCCCACGAAATAACTATAAAATAACACATACGTGATTGGCATACGTGATTTATTTTACATTCACTGGTAATGAACATCTCAAAATCTAAAACAAACAATCTTTATAACAGTCTAGACTGACTAACCCGATTAAAAATAATTATTTTATAACCTCAACAAAACTTCACTTCGTAAATATCACATACACACTGTGAAGTTGTCCATATCACGAATAATAGCCTCTCAAGGATTTTCATTCACCCTTGGAATACATCTGCTAGTAACACACTGTGAAGTTGTCCATATCACGAATAATAACCTCTCAAGGATTTTCATTCACCCTTGGAATACATCTGTCTAGTAACACTGTGAAGTTGTCCATATCACGAACTGCCTCTATAATGTGTAATAACCTCTCAAGGATTTTCATTCACCCTTGGAATACATCTGTCTAGTAATACACTGTGAAGTTGTCCATGTCACGAATTGTCTCTACAATGTGTAATAACCTCTCAAGGATTTTCATTCATCCTTGGAATACATCTGTCTAGTAACACACTGTGAAGTTGTCCATGTCACGAATTGCCTCTACTAATGTGTAATAACCTCTCAAGGATTTTCATTCACCCTTGGAATACATCTGTCTAGTAACACACTGTGAAGTTGTCCATGTCACGAACTGCCTCTATAATGTGTAATAACCTCTCAAGGATTTTCATTCACCCTTGGAATATATCTGTCTAGTAACACACTGTGAAGTTGTCCATGTCACGAATTGCCTCTATAATGTGTAATAACCTCTCAAGGATTTTCATTCACCCTTGGAATACATCTGTCTAGTAACACACTGTGAAGTTGTCCATGTCACGAATTGCCTCTACAATGTGTAATAACCTCTCAAGGATTTTCATTCACCCTTGGAATATATCTGTCTAGTAACACACTGTGAAGGTCTGATTGGAGTTGACCATATTCTCTCCAGTTATGTAAATAATTATGACTGAAATATGCTGATAAACCGTTACTGCAGAAATACAGTAAAGCCGATGGTTAAGACTTACTTCTATACTTGTGTGAAAAAAAAACAACAATAGAATTGTAGATCTACAAGATTGTTCATTCCATCTACATTTTGCAGTTAAAAGCTATTACGTGAAATGGCCAACTTACACGGCGACACGTGTACTCTGATAATTACGTCATCCATTTCGAGATGTGGTCCAGTCCTGGCTCCAGTTTTTCTTAACTGGGGGAGGGAATGAGACACATAAGGGGGCCAAATCTAAAATTAGATTGCTGAATGATATTAACTTGGAGAAGCGCCGGCTCCGATATGGTCTTTAAAAGGTTAACATCTAACTACACGCAACACCATATTAAAAAGGACAACGTGTACCTGTTCACTGGTGTGGTAGCTAGCTTAGTGGGAATCAGGATGTTACTATACATAGCGAAATGAATGCGAGAAATATTATTTCCTAACCCTAACGTGACCTGTGCCAGGACCAGTATCGCTCTGCAATAAGACACAGTTCAATTATTCTTGCATGGTGACAGACTATTGGTAAACATGAGCACACAAAAACAATTCTTGATTTTCTCTTCCAAGTATTTCATGTTAGACTTTAATATACTAATGATCCAATACAAACAGAGAACATGGTGACAGACTATTGGTAAACATGAGCACATAAAAACAATTCTTGATTTTCTCTTCCAAGTATATCATGTTAGACTTTAATATACTAATGATCCAATACAAACATAGAACAAGAGAATATTGTGAGCATTGCACTTCTGACTCCCCCCCCCCCTCATATATATATTTATAATTGAACAAATGTTATGTGACGCGAGATGTTATGGAAGACACAAGCACTAAACAACCGTGTAAAGCAGGGATTCTCAAACTTCGATACTCGTACCACTGTTGTACGTGAAGCTAATGTCTATGGTACACGAAAAAAAAAATCATTTAAAATGCAGAAAATTTGTAATAAGCCCAAATTCAGGTTCCCGCGCACACAGTACTCTTCCCAACTTGTGGGCTCGTCCTCCGCCTCCACAGACTCGTCAATGTTTTCTTTCTTTCACACTGACAAAAATCGCATCACACATTCTTCAATTGTACACACACAATCGCATCCTTCCCGTTAATTGGTAAGTATCAAATATATTAATGTTTGCTGCTAGGTTTTTCGTGTGTTTCTTTTCTTTTTATTAGGCCTAGATTTGTACTTCAAATACAAAGTGGTACGTGAACCTGAAAAGTATGAGAACCACTGATGTTAAACATTTCAAGCAGCTCCTTCGTTCAAGAAGTGTGCAGGAAGATAATATTTCGTGTTGTAGAACATAAAACGTTTAGTTCTCAAAGATATACGATACTTGCTACTGGAGTTAAACCAGAAACTTATAGCAAGATTTAGTCTAACGAGTCTTTTTTTATATATATGTATATAACTTAAAAAATGATAGGTGCATTTATTTTGACGATACGGCATCGTCCAAAGTCGATGTTATATTACAAAATGTACAGTTCAAGGTAATGTGTGTCCTTAAACAAATATATATGTTTTGTTATTTTTGAAAATTATGAAAGCATGTACACATACAATTTCAATAAATTTTTTGTGTAAAACCATATTTATATGATTGATACGAACTGTCTGAATTCATTGAGAATTATGAGTGTTTCACACACACACACATGGTACTTGGTGTTGACTTGACGGCGTTTTATCATCATTGACAATGACTAATTTCTGAAAAATTCCATCAAGATTGATACGAACTGTCCGAATTCATTGAGAATTATGAGTGTTTCACACACACACACACACACATGGTACTTGGTGTTGACTTGACGGCGTTTTATCATCATTGACAATGACTAATTTCTGAAAAATTCCAACAAGATTGATACGAACTGTCCTAAATCATTGAGAAAATTATGAGTGTTTCACACACACACATGGTACTTGGTGTTAACATGACGGCGTTTATCATCACGGACAATGACTAAGTTCTGTAAAATTTCACCAAGATTAATACAAACTGTCTTAGATCATTGAAAATTAGGAGTGTTTCACACACACACACACACATGGTACTTGGTGTTGACTTGACGGCGTTTTATCATTATGAACAATGACTAAGTTCTGTAAAATTCCATCAAGATTGATACAAACTGTCTTAGATCATTGAAAATTAGGAGTGTTTCACACACACACACATGGTACTTGGTGTCGACTTGACGGCGTTTTATCATTATGAACAATGACTAAGTTCTGTAAAATTCCATCAAGAGTGATACAAACTGTCTTAGATCATTGAAAATTAGGAGTGTTTCACACACACACACACATGGTACTTGGTGTCGACTTGACGGCGTTTTATCATTATGAACAATGACTAAGTTCTGTAAAATTCCATCAAGAGTGATACAAACTGTCTTAGATCATTGAAAATTAGGAGTGTTTCACACACACACACACATGGTACTTGGTGTCGACTTGACGGCGTTTTATCATTATGAA